TTATCAATAATAAATGCATCATTATAAACCATATTACAAAAATAAATGTACCAAATGATAATAGATTTAGTGTCATTAAAATAACTATAAAATAATCTACTAAAACTAGATAGTTGTCTAAAACTAGTAAAGTATAAATTAAATTGATTATACAAAATAAATTATAACTAAAGTAACTAATTATTAACATTATATGCCATATGTTGAGCTTATAGTTGAGATAGGTTGAAAAATTTACAATAATATATGATAAAAATTTGTAAATTGTTATTGTGTTAAGCATATGAATAATAAATACGTGCATTATATTTGCCAAAATCATTGAAATAATATTAATATATCCAAGAACTTTACCATAGATATTACCTTGAACATTTAAATCATTTAACCATTGATCGTTTGTAATGATTTTGTCAATACTTAGATACAGATTAGAAATTAGTATAAAAATTATAATAACATAACCTATGAATTTGAACATTTTAGATTGACCATGTTTAGTTGTTTTCTTATCTAATGTTAAGCCACCAAATGTTATACCGATTAGCCGATTGTAGACTAATATATACCAAATTAATTGATTGAGTTTAAACATGATAAATATTTTAGAATATTAATTAATTAAATGAATATTTAATTTTCTTCAATCAGATTGTAATATTTTTGAAGTTTTACATAATATAGTTAAAATTCTATATTATACTAAATAAATTATTTTAATTATTAAAATGTTTTTTATTAAAATAATATGTTATTGATTTTCAATAAAATTAATTAATTTTTATATATTTCTTTTAAAAAAATAATTATTAATAATATTATATTTATGCTAATTATTTTGTTTACGATAAAAAACAAAGTTATAAACTTATATTATTAAGCATGCATACTGTATAGGCTAATAAAAATCAATAAAATATAAAAAATCAATATTTATGACAAATAATTTTTTCATTATTATTTAAAAAATTATTAATTAATTAATAGTAAACATTTTTGAAAAAATCATATATTATTTATGAGCATATATAAAAGAAACAACAATGTTATCTAAATTTTATTATTAAAATAGATTTATTAAATTATAATCAATAACTTAGTTTAGATTAATCTAAAATATTTTAAATACTTATTTATTAAAAAATTTAATTTACAATATTTTATTGTTTAATTTGATTAGCCGTTTGAAATAGTATTACTGTGAAATTTAAAATAAATGTAAATATCTGTAAAATAAAATAATTAGTATTTTAGTCATAAATAAGATACTATAAAAATATTACTGAAATAAGTGTTGATTTGTTGAGTTTAGCGAACCCTCCGATTGTCGGACACATTGTCGCTGTGTTTCCAATCATAGCCTTCAATGCAATCCATTGTCTAAACTCATAGTCAGTCATCACTCGGGTATTCATATTAAGCACCGATTGTTTAATTAATGCAAACTTTGTTTGTATTTGATTGCCAATCAAACACATTGTTATTAATGAAATAATTGAAATAATTAGCCATATTTTAAAATATATATCTATTTGATATGTATCACTGTTTATTAATGTATAATTTTGTATATTTGCTACACTATAAATAGTAATCATTATAGTGTATATTTGTGTAACAAAATACATTGAAAATGAATATGTAATTGTATTGCTCAATAAATTTACTAATTTAACTAATTTATTAATTAGTGTTTTACTATCTAAAAGCAATATAATTAATTTACTATGATTAGTGTTAATATTAACTTCATTATTATTATTATCTAAAAATTTTTTTAAAAAAGTAATAAAATTAATTATATTATGTAAGTTAAACATTTAAATTACTACCCTTAGTATTGTTGAATTGATTTATTTGCAGCTGAACTTGGTCAATTATATAGACAATATATAATAGTAAATAACTTATTAGATAAATAAAACTTACTGTTGTTATAAAGTTATAATAAAATGTCAATTGTGTTAAAAAATTAACTATTAAATTATGATTTAGTTTTAATAAAATAGTTATACTATTAATAAATTTAATCAATGAAAATAATTGCAATAATAGCCATGCTAGTAAATATAATATTGAATAAATAAAGCGCAATTTATTTTCAATGTACTTGAAGTCAAAAATATTCATACTAATTGAAATCAACTTGTACATTTTTGTTGAGTTTAATGTAAAAACTATTAATAAACTTTGTAAGTTATTTAATATAATCATTACAACATGAAGTTCATCAATAAACATAACATTATTTCTATTGATTTGTATATTTTGTTTGGTCAAATTAATACAATAAACAATACTTATAGTACTAAATATAAATGCAATTATTAAAACTAGATAACCAAGCAACTTTAATAGTTTAGATTGTTTAACATTGATTTTATTTGTAGTGTTATTATTCTTATTGACATTATATGTCAAACCACCAAATGTTATACCAATTAATTTATGATAAAATAATAATAATTTTAATAATAAATTCAATGATTGCATGATGTTTTTAATTAAAATTTAAATAATTTATAGTTTTAAAATTCAATATTAAATTATTAGTTAAATAATGCAATGTTATATTTAAAAAAAAATAAATTACTACTTGCTATTTACTAATATTACAAATTTATACTTATATAATAAGTAATATATAATAATAATATAATAATAATATATATAATAATATAATCTAATATATGTTATTTAGTTTAATATAAAAAAATAATAATTATAACATAACAACTGTATGTTTACTATGACTACCGGTGTTTTGAATAGTTAAAAAACTGCAATTTATTTTTAAAAAATCTATTAATAACATTTATTTTCTAAAATATAATAAAACAAAATAATAAATAGTTTTTCAATAAAATTTATTATATTATTTTTTATCACTAAAAAAGGTAATTATTTAAATAATAAAGTTTCTAATAAAATAAATTACGAAATACTTTTGTTAAGTTCTAACTGTTATTATTACAAAATATTTTAATAATATATTAATATAATTTAATATTGTTTTATAAAAAAATCTAAACAATCTATTACTGTAAATGCATTTAAGTAAATTGATAAATTTAGACTTGCATAATCTATTAAAAATTAATTTTATTTATTACTATAATTTTTTTATGTCATCATATATTAATAATATTATTAAGTATTTATATATTTTTAACAATATGCTTTTAAAATTAATTATGTTGAAATTGGATTCAATTGAATCATAAATCTAGAAATTCAATCTATAAATTTATCTATTATTAGCTAATTTTTTAGACTTTCATTATATTAGTAACTATTCTAATAATATTTTGTTGTAAACAAAATAATTAAATTTTTTTATTGTTTTTAATATTAATTTTAATTTGTTATGCAATTGTATAGATAAAATGAAAAATATAATCTACTGTATAAAATAACTAAATTTTTATATCAAACATATAATTATTCTTCAAATTGATTTAATTACATCTAAAATAATTAAAATAATTTCTATTAATTAAAATTACAAATAACATCTTTTCAATAATATAATTACTTAATTACTGTAAATAAGTTATTATACATATATTTGATCTAAATAAACTTCAATATTTAACTATACTAGAGTATAATAAAGTAAAGTAAAGTATAGTAAAAATTAGTTTTAAAAATATTAATGTTTAATATTATGTGTAATTAAGTTGTTATTATTAATTGTTTTATATTTGTTATTATTAAAAAATTATAATTAATATGTTTCCAATTATATAATTAATATGTTTCCAATTATATAATTAATGATGTAAAAAATTTATTAATTATTAAAAATTTAAACTTTTATCTGATATAAATAATATCAATATACGACTATATTAGTGTACATTATAATATTTTTTAGAAAAATACTAATCTCTACTTTTTTAGACTTAAAATACTATTATTATTCTACAATAATAAACAATGACTACAATAAATTCAAAATTTATTTTATTGTTACGTTTTCTACTATTATATAATAAATTTTTTGGCATAACATTTGGCGGTTTAGCGTATGTATCAAATAGAAAACATTATGTAAATCAATCGCGATTATTAAAGTATCTTGGATATTTATCATTAATTTTGACAATAATACTATTTTCAATTGCTGATTTTTTATACATTAACTCAATAGTCAAACAATTGGATCAAAATGCAATATATAAAATGTTTATACTATTATTTAATCTATTATTAAATCATTTACGAGCAATTGTTTTACTATATGTATTAAATTCATCAAAATTATTTAATTTAATAAAATTTACACTAGATAACTTAAACAATTATTTTACTAATAGAAAACTAGTAATTTATTATTTGCTAATATTTATCTGTTGGTTTATTAGTCAGCTATTAGTTATTTCATATATTATTTTCAGATTATCATTAATAAATAAACAATTTATTAGTTTAGAAAAAAATTTATATATATTTATATTCCTAATAACTGCATTATTTTTTTTTACTTTTATATTTTTAACATACTCATTACTGTTATTAATAATATTTGCTTTGAACAAAATTATTGTTTCATTAACTGATTGTATTTTAAATAAAGGTATTATTATTATTTTTTTAAAAATTAATTATTATAAACTAATTTTAATTTTTACTATTTTTAAAATATAGATATTGTTGAATATCAATCATTTTGTCTAACAAAAAATCATAATATTGCTAATATATTAATTGATACAAAATGTGAACTAAATAAACTATCAAAATTTGTCAGTCTATTAGATAATACATTATCAATAGCAATGTCAGTATTAATTATGACAATTATCTATACTCTAATGTATAGCATCTATAATATAACTCACGATATGAATATCAAAATGTTTTTAAGCGATAAAAACGAAACCGATATTATATTTAAAATAATTATAGTTGTATTAGTTATAAGTGTAATCATACTTTGTTTGTTTGGCGATTCAATTCAACAAAATTGGCAATTATGTGGACAGTTAGTCAATAGTATGAATACCCGAGTGATGACTGACTATGAGTTTAGACAATGGATTGCATTGAAGGCTATGATTGGAAACACAGCGACAATGTGTCCGACAATCGGAGGGTTCGCTAAACTCAACAAATCAACACTTATTTCGGTATCTCTTATATTAAATTAGATTTTTTTTTAAAATAATTAATTTAATAATCTTTTATTTTTACAGATATTCACATTTATTCTGAATTATTCTGTTATATTGTTTCAAACTGTTTAACATTATTAATGACTATAATATTTAATAAAATAATAATTGTTTTTTATTATTATCCATACTGTATAAAATACTGAATTTGCAAATCTAATTTTTAACCAATTTTAAGCAAATTTTTGAAATAATTAATAAATTTCACTGTATATACTGTTGTATAAAAATAATTAATATACCAAACAAATATTAATAAATGTTAACATTATAATTAGCATTTATTATGTATTAGTTTTAAGTTTAAAAATAATATTAATTTGAAAACATTTTTAAAAAAATTTGTAATAAAGTATAAATATAAATTATATGAAATTTTATAATAAATAATTAACTGCAGAAAATGATTTTTTTATCATAAATTGTTATTATTGTGTATCTTGACTTATGTGTTATATACAATATATAAATTTATTAGATTTATACTAACAATATACCTATATATATTTACATGTAAAAATGTAATTTACACAAAAATTTAAATACTTGAAACATTAAACTTACGTTTATTAAAGTAATGATAATTTTAAAAGAAAAACTATTTCATTACTTAAACTCAATGTAAAAGTCATAGCCTTGATATTATACATTGTAGATGCATTCAATTTCAAAATGTATAGATTTTTTTAATTTAATATTATTGTCATTGAGTATTGAAGTTATTACCACTAATATACAGTCCATACACTTGAATGGCCTTCAATTACCTAACGTAATGTAATCGTAGACTAAACTAAACTAAAACAATAGTAAAAGTTTATAAAAATAAAACTTTCCTCACATTGTCATCACATTTAAATCACTATATTTTATTTGTATACATTGTACAGTTTATTACTGTTTATTATTTATTGTATTATTTATTTATATATATATTTTTATAATTATAAATTATTAGAATTGTTATTATTATGTATTTAAAATTATTATTTTTCCTACAATTACTTATTTTAATAATAATTCAAATTTTAAGTACTATCGCTACTAATAGCGATCAATCATTACCACCACTAGTGACCACCAGTTCGGGTGTAGTGCGGGGACAGACACTTCATTTACTTAATAAATATGTCGACCAATACTTAAATATACCGTTTGCCGAACCACCGGTCGGTAGGTTAAGGTTTGCCAGACCCGTACCATTGAAAGCACCCAAAAATGTAAGTAATAAAACATTTAAAAAGTTATAAATAGTAATAATAATAATATTTAATAAACTATTTAAGGATATCATTGACGGCACAGAATCGGGTAACAGTTGTATACAAGACTTTTTTCAAGTGGACAGAGGTCTGACCGAAAGCGAGGACTGTTTGGTGCTTAACGTGTGGACACCTAGTGATGCAAAAAGCAATAGTAAATCATTAAAACCGGTAATGTTTTACATATATGGCGGTGGATTTGTTTTGGGTTCAATTTTTGATGACAACCTCAACGGATCAGTTTTGGCCACTCATGATGTTGTAATAGTTTCGGCCAACTATCGTGTCGGTAGTCTTGGCTTTCTATACGGTGCTGATGATAGTGCACCGGGAAATCTGGCATTATATGATCAACTGTTGGCACTTAAATGGTTCAGAGATAATGCACAGGCATTTGGTGGTGACAGGGATCAGATTACTATATTTGGTCAATCGGCCGGCAGTTGGTCAGTATCGGCACAAATAATGTCACCGCTGTCTAAAGGACTGTTTCGAAGAGCTATTATGCAAAGCGGTGCGCATATCAATAGCAAAGACCAACCTATTTATGATACGGTGAATGCACTTGAAATGTCTAAACTAACTGCCAGTCAATTGGGTTGCGATCCCTATGACTATCACTGGTTGGACTGTCTGCGCGATATCCCTGATCCTCAAGTGTTTCGCAATAAACCTGAAAATTATAGTTCAATAAAGATAAATTATCCAGCTTATGGTAGCGAATTTTTACCACAATTACCTCAAAAAGTATTTAAACATGATCAGTTTTCTAATGGTTTGTGAATTAGTATATTTTTTTAAATATTAATAATACATAATACACAGTATATTAATTTATTTAAATATTTATAAAAATAATTACAATATATTGATACAGATATCGACTTAATGGCCGGTTCGGCCACTCATGAGGGACCAATGCTATACTATGCAATGCAATCCAACCTCGATTTGATTAATCAAATTAATGAACAATTATTTAGTTCATTACTAGAAAAATTAGAAAAATTTCATCATAATCTAGATATTGATAAACTAACTGGATACTATTTGAATAACACTAATCTAGATAACAGTAAAGAGTTATACATGTCATTGGGCCAGTTGTACGGTGATCTGGCTTTTCAATGCCCGACCTATATGTTTGCCAAATTGTATGCAAAATATATGAGCCAATCGGCTCCGGCACCAAATGTCTATTACTATCAATTGGCATACAAATCGGTTAATCATTTTTGGAAACCTATGGAACCATTTACCGGCCATTTGGCTGACGATAGTGTTGTACATCACGGATGTGATAATGATTTTATATTTGGTTTACCAGTTCATCGACAACAAGAGTTCAGTGAACAGGACTATGATTTTAGTCTATATATTATGAAACTGTGGACCGATTTTGCTAAATATGGGTAAAGTTTATGAAAAATAAAGTATTATTTTATTTCAATTAATATAATGTTTTTTAAAATTATTATTATTTAAATAGTAAACCGAGTAATGATTGGCCAAAATTGTTTGACACAACTGATGGCGACGACAACCGATTGGTGTCCAAATTAAAAATATTAACACCGTATGACTTAACACGTGTTGAAAAAAATCCATTTGATAGCACGTGTGACGGTATTTGGAAAAATTATTTTACATAATATCAAAGATTATTAATTATTTAGTTGTTATTTTTGCTCAATTTATTTAACTTATATAAACTTTTATTGGAAATGTTTTATAAACTTCCAATTTTATAATTTATTTAAAAATAAAAAGATCAAAATTAATTTTTTGTGTATTAATAAAAGATATTTTTAAATATTTATCTAAACAGATATTTTTTCAATAAAAACGCGAAATAATATTGTTTTTATTAAATTATTTTGATAGTAATTGCATAAACAAAACATTTTATTCTAGTTATAAATATTATATGTTATAATTAATTTAATTGATATTTCTAAAATCAATAAAAAAATACTAAATATACGGTAAGTTGTTTTATGTTTATTAAATAATAAATATTATTATAGTATCTTATTTTTTTAATAATAAGTAAAAATCTTTTAAATAATGTTAGATCTATTACATATTTTTTATTAATTATAGAAAATTATTTAACATTAATTAACTGTTATATAACTGTTTAGTTTATTATTACATTAATTTTAAAACTTATGTTATATTATTATATCATAAATTGTTTGGTATAACATTTGGTGGTTTTACTTACAGTATAATAAAAAATATCATTTCAAATGTAATCAATGTTAAACAAAAAAAATTTAGATTATCTACTATAGTGATTGCAATTATAATTTATATAATTAGAAGTATCTAACAAACAAAATAATTCAAAACTTATCCATCAATCAAATAAATGAATCAAAATATTAAATTATAAACTTATAAGAACTTATTATTACTATTATTTTGTTATTATTTTTTTAAACTATAAATAAATCTAAAATAATATATTGTGGTAAACAAGATAATTAAATTTATTAATTTTTTAGTTTTAATTAATTTGTAATGCATTTAAATTGTTTTGTAAAAATGTATTATAATCTTATACTTTTATAAAATAATTATTTTTGTATATCAATCAAACCAATAAATAAATTTTATTTTCATTCATATTATATATAATTAAGTTGTTATTATTAATTGTTTTATGATATTTGTTATAATTGAAAAAAAATATATAATTAATATGTTTACAATTATATAAATAATGACGTATATGATTTATAAATTTAAACTTTTATCTAATATAAATAATTTCAATGTTTGAATATAGTTGGGTACATTATAATATTTTTAGAAAATAGTAATCCACTTTTTAGATTTAAAAAACTATTATTATATAATAAACAATGATTACTATAAATTCAAAATTTATTTTAATGTTACGTTTTCTACTATTATATCATAAATTATTTGGCATAACATTTGGCGGTTTAGCGTATGTAACAAATAAAAAACATTATGTAAACCAATCCCGATTATTAAAGTATCTTGGATATTTATCATTAATTATGACAATAATAATGATTTCAATTAGTGATGTTTTATACATTAGCTCTATAGTCACACAATTAGATCAAAATTTGAAACGTGATTTATATAAAATGTATATATTGTTAGGAAATCTATTATTAACTCATTTACGGGCAATTGTTTTATTATATGTACTAAATTCATCGAAAATGTATTGTTTAATAAAATTTATATTTGATAATTTTGGCAAATATTTTAACAATAGAAAATTAATAGTTTATTATATCCTAATGTTTATTTGTTGGCTTACTATGCAACTATTAGTTATTACATATAATATTTTAAGATTTATTTTATTAAATAATAAAAATGCAGAATTAAAATATTATTTATTCACTTTAACATTAATGATAATTGGATTAACATTTATTAGTTATATGACTTTAACATGGGTTTTGTTGTTATTAATAATATTTGCTTTAAAACAGATTCAATTTGCATTAATTAATTGTATTTTGCATAAAGGTAATATTATCATATAAATTAAAATTATTTTTATAAATTTATTTTAATTTTAGTATTTTTTATTTTTTTAAAAAAAACTTAGATGCATTTGAACATAAAACATTTTGTCTAAGAAATAATTATAATATTTCTAGTATATTGTTTGAATGTAAATGTAACTTAAATAATCTAGCTAAATTTGTTAATGTATTAAACAACTCATTATCATTAGCAATGTCAGTATTTATGATGACAATTATCTATACTATAATGTATAGCATATATATTGTAACTCACGATATGAATATCAAAATGTTTTTAACCGATAAAAACGAAACCGATATTATATTTATAATAATTTTAGTTATAACACTCATATACGTAATCATAATTTGTTTGTTTGGCGATTCAATTAAACAAAATTGGCAATTATGTGGACAGTTAGTCAATAATATGAATACCCGAGTGATGACTGACTATGAGTTTAGACAATGGATTGCATTGAAGGCTATGATTGGAAACACAGCGACAATGTGTCCGACAATCGGAGGGTTCGCTAAACTCAACAAATCAACACTTATTTCGGTATTTTATTATTAAATTGAATTTCAAAAAACACTACTTATTATTATAATTTGTTTGCAGATATTTGCATTTATATTGAATTATACCGTTATATTATTTCAAACTGTTTAATATTATTACTGATATATTATATTTATTATTTTTATTTACTGATTTATTTTTAATTTGTATTACATAATTAAATTTTTAAAAATAAAATTTTAAAATGATTTTGTTATTTATCTTCAATTAATTTTAAATTTTTAATATTATTTTTTCAATAAATATTAACTTTTTTTAGTAATATTAAATTAAGTAAATTGTTGTATAGGTATTTCTATTTTAATTTTTATAAACTTTATTTATTATAATATAACAAATGATTTATACTTTTATATTATTTTATTCTACATATTAAAGCAAAAATATGAAAATTTTTAATTTAAAAAAAATTATTATAATTGATAATATTAATAATTAAAAAATACTTAATATTTCAATTATTTTTTAACGATTTATATTTTTAAACTATAAATAAATCTAAAATAATAATTATTATAATAATATTATTTTATTAAAATATTACGTAAATAATATATTGTTGTAAACAAAATGATTAAATTTCTTGATTTTTTATTGGTATCAAAATTAATAACGCATTTTAATTGTTTTGTAGATAAATATATTTATAATCTTATACTTTTATAAAATAATTATTTTTCTATATCAAAAAATAAATTATATATTTCATTTATATTATTTATAATGAATTTTTCATTATTATTAATGGTTTTATATTTGTTATAATTAAAATATTGTTATAGAAAATATTTTTTTTCAATTATAGAATTTGTTGATGTAAATAATTTAAAAATTATTAAATTATAACTTTTATTTCATATAAAAATATCAATATTTGACTATAGTAGAGTATATTATAAAATTTTTAGAAAAATACTTTTTAGACTTCACAATGGCTACTATAAATTCAAAATTTATTTTATTATTACGTTTTCTATTATTATATCACAAATTACTTGGCATAACATTTGGCATTTGAACATAAAAAACATTTTTTCTAAAAAATAAAACTTGTATAATATTTATAAAGCTATTTTTAAATATTAGTTTTCTTTTTTTATAACAATTATAATATTGATAACTATTAAGTTGCTATTGAAGTTTGTTTTTGAAATAATAAATTTTATTAAACTAATTTAGTTTTTTAAAAATTATTTATTAAAGTGTATTTATAAATGTATATATGTATTATTACAATAGTTAAATTGATATAAAAATTATTGCAAAATTTTATTGATTTATTTTATTTTATTGATAAAAATATATGTAAATTAATTATATTACACATATTGTGATATCTTTTGTAATTATAATTGTTTTTCTCTAAATTATTGATAATTATTTGAAATAATAATAAATGATATTAAAGTTATTAAGTTTTTTTGAATAATATGCATAATGTTTAAAAAAAATTAATAAAAAAGTAATTATCTATTTTTACTACGATTTAGTCATTTAGTTACTAACAGCATAGTATACATACAAGTATTCAATAGTATAGTACAAATAGTTTTCACACATTAAAAAAAATAAAATTTTGCTTCACTTAAAAATTAATAATATTAAAATATTTATATTAAATTTATTTTAAATAAAATAAAATAGACATGTCAAACTTATTTAATAAATTTATAAAATTATTGCTATTGTATCATAAATTTTTTGGTATAACATTTGGTGGATTTATTTACAATATCGATAAAATTAATAACAATTCAAATAGAATTAATGTTAAACAATCTAAACTATTAAAGTTGCTTGGTTATCTAGTTTTAATAATTGCATTTATATTTAGTTGTATTTATATTATTCAAACTATAATTCTAACCAAACAATATTTTAAAAACAACAAAACTAATTTTATATTAATTAATGAAATGTACTTGCTAATTATTATTTCAATTAACATACAAAATTTGTCAATAGTTTTTACATTGAATTCGACAAAAATGTACAAATTGCTAACCGATTGTATTAATAGTTATAATTTAAATTGTATTAAATTTAATTTGCCACTTGGTTATTTTATAACTATTTCACTAATATGGTTATTATTACAATTAATATCATTGATAAATTTTATTAATGATATAATCACAACTATTAAATTAAAAGATAAATCAATTGTTAATTATTTAATAGTTTCAACATTTTCATATAACTATATTACATTATTTAGTTTTATCTGTTTGACATGTTATATCATATTATTTATTGCGCATATAACTGACCAAGTTCAACAACAAATAAATCAATTTAACAATTTACAAGGTATGTTAATTAAACTATATAGTTTTTTTATAAATACATTTTAAATATAAGATTTAATTAATATTTGTTTTATTTAATATAGATAATAATCAGGAAAATTGTTTTACAGTTATTAATAATAAAGTTAACATTATGACTAATCATACTAAATTAACCTTGTTGATTTTTGATAGCGAATCAATGATTATTAAATTAGCTAAACTAGTAAATTGCTTAAACAATACCATATCATATACATTATCAATATATTTTGTAACACAAATATACTATACTATGGTCAGTATCTATAGTGTAGCTAATATACAAAGCTATACATTAATAATCGGTAATACAATACAAGTGGATATATTTTTGAAAATATCACTTATAGTTTCAATTATATCATTAATAATATTGTGTTTGTTTGGCAATAAAATACAAACAAAATATGCATTAATTAGACAATCGGTAATCGATATGAATACCACTGCTATGACTGACTATGAGTTTAGACAATGGATTGCATTGAAGGCTATGATTGGAAACACAGCGACAATGTGTCCGACAATCGGAGGGTTCGCTAAACTAAACAAATCAACACTTATTTCGGTAATATTTTTGTTGTATTTTATTTATAACTAAAAAAATTATTATTTTATTTTACAGATATTTACATTTATGTTAAATTTTACAGTAATACTATTTCAAACGGCAAATCAAACAAAACATTAAAATACTATAAACTATATTATTAACTAAAACGCTTGTTTTTATTTAATTTTTACATTTTTAATTAAATTCATTTTATATTTTAAGTATAATCATTTGTTTATCCTTATTTTATTAAAATTATTAAGTAATTTATTTTTGCAGTAGTCATGACATAAATTGTAATATAATACAAAGTGATTTAATTTTTTAAAAAACAAATAGTTTGTATTAAGTTATTATTGTATCATTCAATATATTTTTATTATAATTGTTTTGTTCAAATATATTGTTTTAATAATAAAAATCAATAATATGTAAAATATAAAATTGATAACTAAAATAATTAATAAAGTTGCAATATATTTATATAATTGCATGTAATATATTAAATCGTTTTCGTGCTTTTGCAAATAATAATTTTTATTATAATAATTATTTTTTAAATACAATAATATGAAAATTGTTTTTTAATAATTTTAAATGACAATGTAAATTATTTTTTATCATATTTTTCATACCAGTATATCGATTTTGGTTAAAACAATATATTTAACTTATATTATATAAACTTTCGTAATGTTAATAATGTAATATAAATATTTTATCTAACTACATGTGAAAACTTAATTTATTATTAAAGGTATTGTAATTATTAGTAATAACATTTAGTTTAAATTATTTTTATTAAATTTACTTAATTACTTTTAGTTAATTATTAATTATTTATAATTTAAATATATAAAAATAGATGAAAATATTAAGTATAAAGTAATTGTGTTTTTATTCAAATTTTTATTAAAATTATATTTATTTATAATTTAAAAAATATTTTTATAAGTATACAATATTAAAGATATTTTTTCTATAAGTTATTATAATACATATTTAATTAGCAAATTGATATCATTGACTTATTAATATTAATATGAAATATTATAGTTTTATTCAATTTAATAATGTAATATCAAAATAAAATTGTTTTTTTAAGTAGTGTATTATTAATATTAAATGATATTTTAATAAAATAATAGTTCAATCATCTCATCTTTTAATGTTTTTTAAATTTTATTCTGTAATTTTTTTTATAACAAAAAATTATATTTATTAGATATATAACAATTAGTTTTTACTATAAATAGAAAATAAAAACTAATAGATTTATGAGTATAAAAAATATTAAGCTATTAAAAAACAAGATTAATTTTTTTTAAGATTTTAAAACTATAACTTTAATAAAAAAAAATATTATTTTATAATATAAAAAATTTATTTAAATATTTATTAAAATAAAAATGTTTAAACATAGTCAATTGTACTGGTTACTATTGATTTATCATCGACTAATTGGCATAACGTTTGGAGGTCTAATTTATGATAGATCAATAAATAAACATGGTCAATCTGTTATTGTAAAATTTCTAGGACATGTAATAGTAATTATAACAATACTTTTAAATTTGTATACCACTTTTGTCATTATTAATATATGTATTAGTTTATCATCATCATTGAATGAGCATGATAAAGTTATTAATTATATTTATATATATACGCTAATTATAGTCAATATACAGCATATAATATTAGTTTATACACTCAATTCAACTAAAATGTACAAGCTAATACTGTATATAACAACTAATTTTGCCAATTATATTATAAATAAATTATCAATTTGTCAATTATTATTTATACTAACTCTAATTTTATCACATCTTGCAGTTATAGCTAATTTTATTTATACCATCAAACTATTGTTAATTAATAATATAATTTTATCAAATTATTTAATGACAATTTCAATATTATTTCACTTATTAACATTTGCAAGTTTTGTTTGCATAACATGTTTTATATTAATTAATTTATTATTTATATTAAATAAAATACAAGTTGACTTAGACAATTTTGCCAGTGTTTATAGTAAGTTATAATTTATTTTTATTTAATTTTATTATATTAATACTAAGTAATTTATATATTTAACTAATTCTATTTTATTATGCTTAACTATAGATACTTTCAACAATGTATCTAGCGCAATTAATAAAACTAATAAATGTGTAATTTTAAATCATTATATAATTATTATTGATAAAATAGCTATATTAATTAATTTAATTAATGATACACTCAATTATATAATGCCAATATATGTTGTCAATACTATTTACAGTATTATGTGTTGCATATATAGTATAGTTTGTGTAATTAATTTTAAAACAATATTGACTGATATCTATCAGAACAATATGTTATTAATTATTATACCCATTGACTGTATTGTTGTAATTATAATAATATGTTTTCTGAGCGATTTTATACAACAAAAATTACAATCAATTAAACAATTAGTTTATTGTATGAATATCCGAGTGATGACTGACTATGAGTTTAGACAATGGATTGCATTAAAGGCTATGATTGGAAACACAGCGACAATGTGTCCGACAATCGGAGGGTTCGCTAAACTCAACAAATCAACACTTATTTCGGTATTTTATTATTGTTTTTAATTAGATTTTAAAATAAAAATAAAATATATTTTCTATTTACAGATATTCACATTTATATTGAATTATACAATAATTTTATTTCAAACGTCCAAGTTTAAATAATATTGTTATCAGTTAATTGTAAATAAACTTTAATTGTTAATAATTTAGTTTATAATCAATTACTATAGTAATTATAAAATAAATAAAAAAATAATCTACCTAAATAATTTTTAAAAAAGTTATGTTTAATTATTAAAATTATTTTTTATTTATAAATATATAAAATTGATTAACTTATTGGGAAATTAATAAATATTATTTGAATAACAAATATTTTCACAAAAATTAATATTATTAAAATAAACTAATTAAAATAGTTCAATTATTAATATTTGTTAAAATTATTGTCATTATAGAGTTTTTATTATATTATGGTAATTTATTAATTTTTAGCATTTATAATATTGATTGATTAATAAATACAATTAAACAAAAAAATTACATTTATAATCTATTATATATTTGATTATTTCTTAATTCATAATATTTAAATTTTACTCATAAACAAAATAATTACCATAAATATATTTATTGTGAAAAATAATTTTTTTTGTTACTATCTATTATAAATTAATTAACTTATCGAAAAATCAATAAAAAAAATTATACTTTATTAACTCAAAAATTTATCAAATGTAAAAATTATTTTATTTAAAATGTCAAACTATTATCACATTGCTATACATTAAAAAACATACACTTCAGATAATAGATTAATAAATGTCATAAAATAAAAATATTAATTATTTTTATTTTAGATTTTTTATATTGTAGAGTTAATAATATATGTCATTTATTTTTTTAAAAAAAAGTAGTTATAAAAATTTAATTACAAAAATATATTTTCAAAATAGAATGATTATGTCTAAATTAAAATTGTTAAATTTATTAATTGCAATAATTATAATCATAAACAATATAACTGGTGTAACATTAGGCGGCATTTATGGTTATCGTAATGGCCATTTGCTCAGATTGAGCATGGTCAAATATTGGTCATACTTAATGTCTGTATGCTTTAGTATATTTAGGTTTGTTTTGAATACAAACATTTTACTAGATTTTGATAATTTTGTCAAAAGCTATGGTCAGGTTAGCAAAGCGATACCTATTGGACGCTATACATGCGTTACATTAATGAGCATGCTACATTTATACAAACTTATCTATTGCAATCGCTATGGCTATGAAATGGCAAAATTATTTTTCAAAAATATATGGCCTAATGTTAGACAAATTTCAAATTGGAAATTATATATTTGGCTATGTTTTTGGTTGGTCAATTTTATTATTGTACACATAATATTTATTTTAATTTTGATCAATGAACATTTTCATAATTATCTATCAATAATGCGAATTATGTCTATTTTATTGTTTGCTGAATATTATATACTATCATGGACATTTGCTATACAAATGTATTTTGTAACAATATATGCTAACACTGTATTAGATAAAATTACCCAATCATTAATAGATTCATATAATATTAATAAAGGTAAAATATTTATTTTTTATATAAATGACATAACTTAAATATTTTAATATAATTTTTTTAAAAAATTTTATTAATTAGTAAAACATAATTATCAACAAAATATCGAATCGAACAGAAATCTATTTAGAATAATATTTAAAACAATAAATGATCTAGATAATCGGCTAAAATTTATAAATTTATGTAATATGGCAATAATTATTTGCGATATTATGCATCAGATATACGTTATGGCAAGTATATCGTATGTGTCGACACAAAAAGCTAAAACATCAATATTTATTGCTTACGGTATACTTTCGGGTATTAGTGAGACAATTATCACATGTTTCATATGCGGCACATTTGACGACAAATGCCGAACCATTGGCCAGACATTGGACGCCATGAATGCCCGCTATTTGTCGGACACGGAGTACAAGGAGTGGCTTATGTTTAAACATATGTTGCGCTCAAACCAGACGTTTGGCTTTACTATCGGTGGGTTCGCGACATTCAATAGGACTACACTTATTGCCGTAAATATAATATTTTTAATTTTATAATTTATTTTTATTATTAATAGATAATTTAATATTAATTTATTAATTTTTTTAAAATAGTTGTTTACGTTTATGTTAAACTACACTATTATATTATTGCAAACAGCATCTAATTCAAATGGATATAATAAAACTAATTAATTTACTTATATATTTTTAAAAATTTTTTGTTAAAAATATTATTAATAATATAAAATAATTATATAACGTTAAATAAATAATATAAAAATATTTTGTTATTAATATTAGCTTAATAAAAATTTTGTTTAAAAATTTAATTACTTTTAGTTTTAAAAGAAAAATATATTTCACTTTATTCATTTTATTATATTTTATAAAATAACTTAATTTTCTTATAATTATAATAATATTGGTTTAAGCATAGAATTATTATTAATTTATATAAATAAAATATATATGATAGTATATAATAGTAATAATATATATATAATATCAAATATTGCTTATACTGTTAGAATTATCATGTTAAAACATTTCCAACTAAACTAGTATATTTTAATCTATCATAATGTGTTATATTAATGTGTAATGTGTAATATATTAGAACTGTTAGAAATCATTGATATTATTTAATTAATTAGTTTTATTATCATGAAAAAAATTTACTAACTGCTAGTTTGAATTATACTAAAATATTTTAAGTTAACTAACTTACTTTATTAGATTATTTTTTATTGGTTATTTTCTTAATATTAAAAATATTATTATTATCATTTGTTAAATTTGATTTTTTTAAATTGACTTATTATGTTGAAATTAAAATTGTTATTAACAAAAGTTATAGATAATTTGGATAAATTTAATAACAATAGTAATGTTAAGTATAGATAACATTTTGATTTTTTTTAATAAATTGAATCAATGTATAAAACTTATTGAAAAGAAAACGTATTTTTTGAAAATTTTGTATTGAAATTAATGAATAGTTAAGATATTTTTTATGTACTTATTTTATCAATCAAATGAATGTAATGCTAATTATTTTATCAAAGAAAATATTGCAAAATGTTTTATAAACAAAATAATTATAATAATTATAATATTTGTTTATTGTTTATAATAACATAAAATTGTCATAGTAATTCATATAATTTTAACAATAAAAAATTATTTATTAACAAATTTATTAACAAACAAATCTAATTATGAATATAATTATTTTCAGTATTTTGTAATAATTAATAATCTATATAAAATACCAACAAAACATTTTATGTAATATATTTATTATTTTTAACATATAGAAGTTTTAAACAAGTTATTTAAGTAAAAAAAAATTAAACTTATAACTTACAATTGTAAAATGTCGTTAACAATTAAAATTAGTATAAACAAAATCAATCAATTATTTCAATTACTGTTGATTTATCATCGACTAATTGGTATAACATTTGGTGGCTTAACATTAAATAGATTGACAAACAAACATGGTCAATCTAAATTGTTGAAATTGTTAGGTTATGCTATCGTAATTTTTATAATATTTTATTATTTCTATTTATGTATTCATAAAATTATTATATTTAAAATTTTGTTTGATAAATTACCAACTAATGAACTATATATTTCCTACATTAATGCTATTGCATCATTTTTAGGCGACATACAACACATATTTGTTATCTATATGCTTAATTCAACAAAAATCTACCAGCTTATTTATTATTTGTTAACAAATTTTACAAAATATATTAATTATAAATTATCAATCTGGCATATTATTTTATTAATTAATTTTATTATATACAATTCAATAGCTATAGCTAATATTATCTACAATTTCTTAACATATTTTCAATTATCTAATTTACTTGGTTGTTTTATAAACATTATATTACTATTTACTACATTATCGTTTAACACATTTCTACATATAACCTGGCTTATATTGTTACAATTGTTACTCGTTATGTCTAAAGTTAAAAATAATTTGATAAAATTGAATAAAATAAATGGTATGTTTATTAGTAAATTATATTTAATTTGTTAATATATATTGTATAATAGCAATATACATATAAGCTAGAAATATAATTTAAATAACTTAAAAAACACATTTGTTGATATTTAAATTAGTAACAACCTAAATGAAATATATTTATTTTTATGTTATTAAGTAATTATTGATTATTTTTAAAAATATATATATATAGATACAATTAATAATAAAAAATGTTTTATGGAAAAATATAATACTGGTAAATTATTAAACGATTACACACACATATTTAGTAAAATTACTAATTTAATTAAATTATTTAATAATACAACAATATATGTAATGCCAATATATACAGTAAGTGTTGTTTATTCTATAATGTTTAGTATATATGAGATTATATATGAAGTCAATGTTAAAACATCATCAAAAATAACAACTAATATTTTTTTCAAAATGATACCCATTTTAAATATAAAAACAATTCTAATAATGTTTTTACTGAGCGATTCAATACAACAAAAATTAAAATCAATTGAAAAGTTAGTTAATTATATGAATACCCGAGTGATGACAGACTATGAGTTTAGACAATGGATTGCATTGAAGGCTATCATTGGAAACACAGCGACAATGTGTCCGACAATCGGAGGGTTCGCTAAACTTAACAAATCAACACTTATTTCGGTATTTTATTAATTAAATTTTTTTTTATATTTTAATTTTATATTTAATTTACAGATTTTTACCTTTATATTGAATTACACTGTAATACTATTTCAAACAATAAAACATAAATAATTTATTGTTTTTTCTAATTGTATTTAATATATGTTATAATATTTTGTATATATATTTATTTATAAAATACACCAAACTAAAACTAATCATTATTGTACAGAATTTTTATTGCACTAAAATTTTTGGGAATTAAATAATTAAAAATAAGATTTTCTTATCTTTTTTTATTTCTTTGTGTAATTTATAACTTATAACTAAGTTTATGATTAGTTAATTATCAAAACAGTTCCAGTTTTCAATTGTATGAAATGTTTCACTTAATAAAACTTTACATAAACTTTAACATAAATTTCTAACTTATTTGCTATAAGGATATTACGATACATTTGGATGGCTTTTCTAAAAGTTTTTAAATAAACCATCATAATTATAATCAATTTAATTAAATAATCAGAATTTTAACATAATATACAGTATATATTTATAAAGAGAGAGAGAGAAATTTTTTTCGGTGTTATTATTTTTAATTACGATAATACAAAATTAATCAATAAAATCGACATTTTCTTTTAAATTATAATATTAAAATTTAATTATTTCAATTATTTCTTCTAAATATTATACTTTAAATATTTAGTTTAATTTATCAAATAATATGATTAGAGTATATTATTTTTTTTATATATAAATTAATAATATTGATTATCTAATTAAACAAAATATTTTGCAATGAAGTTATTACTATTATTCATTTTTTTATTATTGAATAAAATTAATGATTTAAATTTATTTACTAAATTTTTTTCGTAAACAATATAATTAATTTTAATATTCAATTATAATAAATATTTTTATTATTGCAACAATCATACAATATAATAAAAAATAATTACTCTAATTATTTTGTTTATTATTAATATCTATTTTATATTTTATCATTATATAGATTTTTTCAATTATACAAAATTTGTATTTCACTTATTTTTAGAATTGTTAGGAAACAATATTTTATTTTAGTTATCAATTAATCATTATATCAGTAATAATTTTGTTTAAATATATATATAATTTAAAAAAATAATTTTATTTTTATTTTCCCAGTGTTTTGAAATAGTTTTGAATCGTATAAAAATACAATAAAATGATTATTAGTTTAGATATTAGTTTTACAAAACTTTATTATTTATTACAATTTTTATTAAATTATCACCGACTAATTGGTATAACATTTGGTG